GCTCCTTTAAGCAAACAGGACTGTATACTTCCCAGTCAGCAATATTCGCTTATATCCCCCTACTAACGAGGTGTTGGCTTAGCGCGTCTGCAAGGCACAGATCAAAGAGGAAAACGGGGGTCTCCTAATATATTAACTGACAGCGGTGCGTTTACACTGGCGAATCCGAGGGCCGTTCCGCGCCGGCGGCGAGCAAGTTTTGGAGCCGAGTGGCCAAATCCGCTCGTCGCGGCAGCGGAAAATCTGAATCGTCCTTGGAGTTGTATCCGAAATTTCCACCAGCGACGAGACGATTTCGCCACGCGGCTCCAGAGTCTGTTCGCCACCGGCGCGGCCGGAACCGCCAGCGGATTCGAAAGTGTAAACGGGCGTTTCTTATGGTAATCTATATGAAGCGCGGTTCTCGAACATCTTGTTAGCGCTCCGCCGCCAATGAAACTCCGATTCCGATAAGGTTGCCGAAGAACCCTATAATCACAAAGTACGAGGAATGAAGATAAGATGGTTCCTTCTTGGTTTTCTTTTTTTTTTTTTATCGGCTAATATCAAAACGCCTTTCTTATACTGTCACTGACAATAGTAGAAATCACATTCACAGGAACGTAGTACGGAATCCCAACAGCCGTGAATTTCAGGAGACACCAGACAGAACACACCCACTTCTTCCCCATACTATACATGCCTTGCACGTGACGTCATATGGCACTGTACCAGCCGCCATTGCTCCGTACCAGGTTCCTGTACGGAGCCTTTTGCGGCATACATTTGGCGCGATCGAATCTGCTCTTCTCGACAAGTCTTGACCAGAAAAACAAATTCAATGGTGTCAAATGTAGGCTGCAGAATTTACGGGTACAGGAGAACGGTACGGAGCAATGGCGGCTGATGTGACGTCAATGCAAGCCATGTATAGAACGGCCCCCAAACTGATGGATGTATACGTGCACTCCCCACACACAAACACGGAGTTCAGACCCACGTTCCAAACCGGGGACCCTTCCTTTTCCCCTTCACGAGGGAATGGAAAGAACGGGAGGAGGGGGGAGCCCCGGCAAGCCAATCAGGAAGCGGGAAAGCAGAGCCAAGCGCGCGGCGACCAATAGCGTGGCGGCGGGGGCGGAGCCCAGCGTTTGCACACGTTACCACCGGGGGAAGGCGCGGGTTTCAAGGGAGGGTAGGGAAAGGGGAGGAGGGGGGGGGGGGGGGGGGGGGAGTTGCAATGTGCAGGCGTGGGCAGCCACGAGCCCATGGCTCCGTAAATGTAACGGTTCTGGGTTTTCAACACCGTGGTGGCGGCGGCGGTTTTCGCTCGGTGTGTACGGTTCGTTACGGCGGCGGCTGTTTCCTCCTCCCTTCATCTTCTCCCTCTCCCGGGTTATAAAATAGAAACTTTGTGTTGGTCTACCCGCGAATAAAAGAGCAATGATTCCTCCCAACGGACCCTCCATAGTTCCCACGAAACAAGCGTGGGATGGAGAAGTTAGCGACGAATATATCCTCTTTCTTCTCTTTTATTTCCTTTGGCGCGTTGTTATGGCGTAGTAAGCGAATTATGTAATGTTTGGGGAGTTTGAACAGATCCCGTCTTTTGGAAGGATGAAGCTCGCATTGCACTCTGTGCTGATCGTCATTCGCGCGGAACCTTCCATTGCTCGCCCTGTAAGTGACGGTCTTCGTGTTCTGCAGGAATCTGAACTCGCAGACCCTTTTTTATAAGTGTAGAGCGAAAGCGGTATTTGAAGTGCAATACTGCCAGAGTAACATAAGAACTGATTTGCATTTACAAGCATATTATTAAACGCATAATTCATATTGGTAAATAAAATACCAGGCTAATATAACTATACCGGCGCGACCATGCGTTGAAAAACATTTTGTAAGCAAAATCCGGACATATAAAAGTGGAACGGTTTAGGTGGAATTATTTAATTTTAACATATCCAAATGGACGATTAAAGGGGAATTTTTCGAGCGCTCCAGTTGGATGTTGGGCCAACATATATGTAACTACCAAGTCTCACGTAAAAGTCCAGAGGTCGATTCTGAACACTCCAAAGACGCTCCAAATCTATGCCAGTGGGATTCCCTGTTGATTGTTCGTTAACATTGCTTCGGAATATAGGAACATGTTACATAAAAAAATATTCCGTCGTAAAGTACCATAAATGTTAACGTGTTCTCTTCTTTTTATTTTTTTTTTAATTTATAAAGTTTTTTTTTTTTTTTAGTTAAAAATGCCGACATTATTTGTTACTATTTTTATGTGATAAGATTACGTCACAACTCTGACGGGAAAGAAATCTTGCTCGATGGCTGCTTTGTTTTAAAATAAGTATAGTAGCCTGCACACTAAATGCAGAGCGCGAACTTGATTGTTTGGGTACCGATTAACTGAAAGCAACTCGGCAACTCACGCTGCGCTTGTGCAAGAGATAGTTATCACTACGATGCACTACATCGATACGACGGAACGGGATAAATACTCGACACGTTTCACGAATTTGATGATAATATCGCCGAGTACACATCAACAGAACTTAGAATAAAAACAAGTTTCGAAATTCAGACGTGAAACATATGAAAGCAAGGATATATTACGTCGCTTTCGATGCTTTTTTGGGAAGTCTAGCAACACTGATAGTGTGAAAACATTATATGGAAAAAAGAAGCTCCCTACTGCGTCTCTTTCCAAATTAAGCGTTATTAGCAAACGTCAATGTGGGCTAAACATTCAGGTTCAAAACGAAAGGTCCACCAAGGGATATACTTTTTCAGGCAAAGGATTGCCTGCATACCCCCGAAATCATGTATATGCAATCAAAATTTATTTTGTTGTTGATAATTCGTTGCCTACACGGCAGTATTTTGAAGCTTTTTCGTACGATCAATGATGTTTCTACCTCCTCGTAAGTTTATATGGTGCATGAAATATTGTTTTTCTTGTTGCTATGCGCTGTTCGCGTCACGCCGATATTCAGTGTTCTTTGTAACCTAACATTATCAAAGAAACAAAAAAAAAAAAAATACTGACGCGGGTTTGTTTGACAGAAGTGAACACAGCTAGGCAACATTTCATTTTGCAACCATAATTTTTCCTCGACGCTAAAGCCAACGATGTCGCGTGTGTTTATCTAAACGTTCAAATGCAACAACGCCCAGACAAAACCCGAAAGAAACAAAAAATCAGGAACGCCCTGGATTTACGACAATCAACGTATACTCTAAACGAAGGGAGACTGTACAGCAAGCAGCTGGCTCTCATTTCGAATTTCCAACAACAAGGCACAGCGGCACCAGGGAGGTGTGTGCTTTGAAAGACAATATATACGATTGTTCGTTTAAGGTTTTCTTTTCCAGGGGTGCGTGTGTGAGGCATATTTTGATCATTTCAGACGATTCACAGACTGATACAGGGTCGGACGACTGTGCAGTCTAAGTTTTGATTAGAGACACTACTGCGGCACGTGTATATATATGCCCACAAAGTATACTACATTGTGCACGGGGATTTTAATTATGAATACGTGGATAAGCGGCAACGACGTCATTCAAACTTTGATAGCTACATCGGGTGCCCCGACATACAAGCAGATTATGTCTTTTAAAACGGCAACTTCAGAGTGACTTTTTTTTTTTTTTTTTCATTCCGAGTGATAAAAAGATTTGTGGCTTGTTCATTAGATATATGTTGCAGAGTGACACCTTGTGGTGGGCTAGTTGGGTGTGTATTCGGAAATAAATAAACTGCGCAAAATATAGCTTGATAAGATGCCGCTAACAGGATGAGACGTCAAATGAACCCGGAACGTCTACATATAATATATTGGTTGCGATATGGTTCCGTCATTTATTGCTGAAAACCCACCATCTTGTTCGTATATAATTTCGTGACCGATCCACCACTGCGCGCGTAAAACATCGGAGGCGACCCAACCATTTCAGGTTTAAATGCGGTTGTTAATCTGATGACGATAATATTATGTAACTATGTCGTAGAGTGCCCGGTGCACATGCCTTATTATAGGCTGTGGCGTGATCAGCGTGTATGCGTATAAATACGTGCGCTTAGCATTTAGCGTTTACATCATGTCTCATACATTTAAAAAAAATATATTCAACGTGAAAGATGCTACTTCAAAAAAGGGGAAGGAAAAAAAGACATGTTCAGAACCTATAGATTTATCCGATTCTGAATATACGTATATATATATAAAAAAATCGTTACTTTCAATCAGTCCTGGTATACACAGAATGTAGAGTAAGCGACGGATATATAGAATGTCGAGTGATATAGAGGCTGTGGAGTGAGTACACCTATATAGAAAGGAGAGTGAGCGGTCCATCTGCCTAGACAGACAAAGCTGATCGGTGTATCCCTCAAAGTGAGCTTTCGAGTGCGGGGGGGGGGGGGGGGGGGGGGGGGGGGCGTACGATGGGGGGTTCCTTCCCCCGGGGGCGATCGCGTCGTAATAACCCCCGGGGGCGGTAGGCAAAGCGACTCTTCGCCGCTGACCCCCAGTCGGGCGCCAAGCGAGCGCGGCGTCTTTTGTGGTCGGGCACCCCGCCACGCCGAACGAACGCGGTCGGCGCTCGCGAGAGCGAACGCAACCAACCTCCCGCCCAGGGAAAGTCCGAAGGGCCCCAAAACAAAACAGAAACACCCGCGAAGGAGTCCCGCGGTGCCTCTCCAGCTCACGTGGCGGCACAGCGACGGCGGCGGGCCGGAGACGACCTGCGGGCCGGGCGGCGATGTTGCGACGTAGCGTCGTTTTTGTGGGGCCGTAAACGCGAGCTGGGAGCAGGTAACCCCCCCTCCTCCTTCATCTTCCATAAAAATCGCAGGTGTTGTTCCGGGCGCGCGCGCGCCGCAACGCGAGAGCGCAACAACTATACCGACCGGTTTATGTTGTTTTTTTCTTTCTTGTTTTCTTTTTTTCCTTGGTTCGAGGTATAAACACAGATACAGCGAAGAACGAAGATCAAGGGGGGGAAAGACTCACTTGGGCAGCCGGACGATCCGTACCAGACTTCTTCGATCATCTGAGAGTCCCACTCGTCCCGGTACTTGTCCAGTCGAATCGGCGGGTGCCCTGCAGGGGAACCACGAAGCACTTTTTAGGGGGTGGACTGCAACACACCGCACGGCTGCTTTTGGGGGTAGCCCGGGCTTGCCGACCGCGGAGCCACAAAATCCCAAAAGCAAATGAAAAATAAAAAAAAAAGGGGGGGGGGGGGGGGGGGCAGCGCCGCGGCTTAATTCGGTCGCCGCCCTGTTTACCCTAATTCGAGGGCAAGGGCACGGGGCCACAATTACTCGGCATCCGTCAAAGCCTTAATCGGCTTTGCCCCCCCCTCCTTCTTAGCCCCCTTTCCCCGGTTTTTGTTGGCGGGCGTAATCCCCAAATCCGCGATCGCGGCAACAAGCAAAATGAGGGATTTCGGCGGCGGCGGCGGAGCAGTCGAGGAGTACGGCGTCGCGTCGTCGCACGTACCGGGGTATCCAGGGTGGAGCAGATCGACTCCGGGCGAGCCGTGGTGGAGTCCGATGCCGTTGACGGAGTACGCCGCCGCGGGTGCCTTGAGGTGGTGGTAGGCCGCCATGCCCCCCGGAGCTTGGCACGCCGAGAACGGCCCGGGCCCGGCCGCCGGTTGAAACGCCAGCTTGCTCGCTCGCACGCACCCTGCGCAACGCGCACACGCCACTGGAGTGGGAAACGGGACGCGTTCGGAACCGCAGGCTCCGCCCCCCGGCCACGCCCATCGGCACCGCCTACCGGACACGCCCCACTTTCACCCGCAACGACGAAGCGAAGCGGGGAAAAACAAGAAAAGACGCCCTCTCCGCGCGCGCGAGAGGCGCTCCGCGTTTTTTCGCGCGGTGGGAAGGGTCTAATATAACGCGGGAGGCGGGACCGCCGCAAGCTCCGCCCCTTCGTGGCTCCACCTTTTTGAATCGAGTTTTAGCAGACGTCGCGCGCGCGCGCGTTGACGGGGTTAGTAGCAGACGACGAAAAACGCTTGTTTGGGGATCAATGGAATCGGGCACGGGAAGAAGGGGGGGATGGGGGGATCAGACGGGAATTATCTCCTTAAAGGGAATTTGATCCCCTTTTTGCCGCCTCCTTTTTTATTATCTCGGCGGTGTGTACGCTTTTGCGGCCGAAGGGATAATAAGGAGCTCAATTGGATTACAACGCCATCGCCGCCAAAAGCTAATCAGGTGGCGGCGAGCGGTGCCGCGGCGGGACGTTCGAGAGAGCGGCGCGGAACGCCGAAACGTCGCCGGAGGACCTCGGGCTTACAGGGCCACTGGTGTCCTCGCGCCGCGAAAGGAGCTCGCGGCAGAGACGGACATCGGAAAACGAGAGCCGAGCTCACGTGGCTCATGCACTGTACAAAAGAACACGCGGTGTTCGCTTGGGGGGCCCCAGCAATGCAACACTTTGGGTTGCATTTCACTGCTGTCTCATCAAACCACCGAACATGCAAATTTCTCAGCACTTTCCAGCTTTCAATGAGCTTCGAGCGTGCACACACAGACAAAGCACGACGGAAGGCGACCGGCGCGTGCAGGAGGCCCGAAAGAGACGCACTCGTCGTCCTTTTGGAGGCCACCGTCCTTGTCCCTCACTCTCTAGGGTTAAAATGATGACTATACGCATATTGTTGAAATTCTTTTTTTTTCGGGAGCCTATTTGTTTTTATCGGCGATTTCCACGAAGGGGGGGATGATTGTACGCTCGGTCCCTGATATACGACTCTGCACGCGCATCTTTGGCGCTTCGGCGGACTGCCAAGGGTACGCGGACATCGCTTACAAATAACTCGAGCCTCGAACTGCTTATTTTCTTGTTCCGATAGCACTCCGCCCCTGCATGCCCGTCTTCGGCGGGCGCCAACACTTCTTCGGAGCGAGTTCTCGCACACGGCGGACTTGTTCCATCTGACCGTGATTCTGTAAACTCAACGCGTTTCTTTCCTTTCTTTTTTTTTTTTAATTTACTTATTTTCTTGCACGTTACCACGGGAAGAAAACAAAAAAATAGGTATACTGAACAACGCGTCAGCACGGACCTTTTCCCAATAAGTTTCTGCGCATGTGTATAACTCCCAAGAAAGCGCTCGTTACGCGAAAATCGGCTTAAACATAATTTAATCTGGAGGTAGAAATACTATTTGGCGGTGGCGCCAGTCACCGCCCGATTCATAGTGAACGCCCGATTCAAAGTGAACGCCCGATTCAAAGTGAACACCGGACGCGCGTCCATCAATCCAGGCCGATTGTTCAATCAAAACTCCGGAGATCAGAAAACAATTAAGCAAGAACGGACTTCCCAGCATCTTGATTTTCAGGTGCAATTGTAGTAAAGTTCAATACAATACCAGTTTCGTGCAATTATTGTATTCTTAGTTGGTGTACATATCGCACATTGTTCCCATTATTTGAAGCAGCCGGTCCTGCGGAACACGGAAGCAAGTTCTTTACTTCGTCGGAGGAACATCGAATTTAATCGCACCGAAGACATTCACATTCTGCCAAATCTCGCGCACTTGTCCGCGCTAGATTTCGAACTTGAAAGCATATATACAGAGTACCACAAGGAAAAAAATTTACAGGGTTTTCTTTTTAACTACAAAATTAAACTAAGCATCGCCGAACGCCCATTCTCAGCCCAAGGGTAGCGCTAGAGGTCACAACCAGATGCCAAATTTTCAGCCCGATCCGATAACTTAATCAAAAGTTATGAAGTGATTTTCTGAAAATTTTAATGGGAAAATGGAGCCCATTTTTGCCCGTTTTCGGTTTCTGGTGCCATAGAGCCTCATGTGTTCGAAAACTCCGTCGGCCGCTATTTTTCCATTGAAATTTTCAGAAAATCACAACTTTTGATTAAGTTGAATGAGCGTTCGGCGATGCCTAGCTTAGTTTTGCGGTAAAAAAGACCGTGTAAATTTTCTTTCGTGACACCCTGTATGTATATATTAATTCTCCTCTTTCCGTTTCAAGTTGGATCACATATAGGCTCCTTGCACATGACGTCATTTCCGATACCCTCCAGAGAAGAGGGGAAGAAGGAGCTCCCCTCTTATCAGGACCCTCCTTTGTGCCCCCCGGATTAGCACAGGCGTCGCTATTCTCCTCCCAGAAGATTATAGAAGATTAACCCGTCACTCAACATTCTTACAAAAGCAGATTCCCCCTCCTCCTTTTACTTGGTGTGCAAAAGTATGCGATGTGACGTCAGTGCAAGGAGCCTATATGATTGAACCAGCATTCGATTGTCCGAATTCTAGCAAGGGCGGCGCGCTTTGACGACGGGCAACAAATTCCTGATTACAATTTTCGAACGCAAATGATTGGATATTAGGTAATCCATTGGCGAATCATCACTTCACGCTAGTTACCCGACGTCTGTCGTGCTCAATAGCGTTATTATACAGTCGAAGAAATCTGAAGCGACTAAGAAGCAGAGAAAGAAAGTCAATCGAGAACTATCTCCCCCTCAAGCATCTTAGAAGCACTTCCTACGACTGAATGCTCTGCAGACTGTTTTGTGTATGCTCTCAGTATACGACCGCCATTTTTATAGAGTGGTGCGCGAACAAAATCTTTTTTCAGTGAAACCCCTCAAGCATCTTAGAAGCACTTCGACTGAATGTTCTGCAGACTGTCTTATGTATGCTATCAGTATATGACCGCTATTTTTATAGAATGGTTCGCGAAGGAATCTTTTTTCAGTGAAGAAAGGTGCGTACATGTACATGGCGGAGTATAAAACATTGTTATTATTATTATTGCTATTATTGGTTCAATGGTCATTTAGTTCTTAAAGGGTTCTCAGTCGTTAATAAAGAACCTTACATATATGTAATCGAAACAAGATGTCCAATTAATTTTATTAAAGTTTTTTGTGCATTTTGCCGCGCACAATTAAGCCTCCTTGGCCCGTGCGTGGGACACGGCAGTAGTGGTACGGAGAAAACAAGTAAAGTGAACACATTTTGGGTGTTCAGCAAAATAAACGGAACAAAGAGAAACACCCTATTTTAGTCATATTTTACGTGCGCGGGACAAAAGTTACCTGTGCTGACACAAAACAAAACAAAAAAGTGCAATTGTATTGATTTGATTTTATACGGGCTTTGATTTACTAAGCAATAAAAGAAAAGTTTCCTTAAAATCCGTCTTTTCTTTTTGATATTATCCATAAAATAGAGGTTTTCGAATAAGAAGACGATTCAAACGGGTTCTTTCAAGAAAAATCTTGTTCTCTCTTTAATTGTCCCCGGAAGTGGGTGACACGCTTCTAAAAAAAAAAAAAACCGGCAAAGCAGCGTGACGAAAACTTGGGGTGGGACGCATCCCGTGTAGCTAATAGCATCGAGTCCAGGCGGGTGGCTTAAAGGATTAGAGCTCTATCCGGATTAAGGCGGCAAAGCCCCTTACACGATACACCATTGTACACACACTCTTCGCGTGCCGTGCGCGAGCTTAAACCTTCCTAAACACATCGTGACGAGAGGGAGAAAAAGCCAGCATGGTAGTGTCCAAAATGCAGTCAGTGGGACGCTGTGAAGCCCTTCTGGATATCCTCGTCAATATATAAATATATATAAAACAAGAAGTAGAGAGAGTGATATAGATGAAGAGCGGTCCCCGCTCAAGACGTCCTAATAAAGTTCATATATAGATCGTCTGTATACAATATGCGGTTTTTTTTTTTCATATATATATTCATATGTATCGGTAAGTGGAACACGAACCCATTGTTGCCAGGACCATGATGGGAACAGGCCGAAAACCGGCGCGCGCAACGTCTGAAGAAAAAAGTATATCTCTAGCTGCTTGCATAGCATATTTTGGGTCGGACTCTCTCGAAAGACATCTAGAAACCGCAAGAGCAAAAGTAGAAAGATATTTTCTTAAACAAATAAAAGAGAAACGCTGTCCTTGAAAATCGGCGGCTACCGAAAAAATCTTCTCATGTTACGCGCAATCTCCATATTGCGACCCGAGACTTCGAAGAAAAGAGACCGGTGGTGGGGGGGTTGCAAACATTGTCGCCCGTCTTTGGGAGTGGGATAGACTCGCCGGCTACAACAAGCCAGACGACGACGACGGCGAGATGTATCAGGCTTGTTGTAGCACATGTAGCGACGAGGGGGTGCTGATGGTTATCACACTCTTTAGAGCATGCAGCAGATGCGAATCCCCAAAACAGGGTTGGAGCTCTCCCCCCTTGTCGGGTCCAAGCAATCGCTCCTTTTCTTGCCTCCAATTTTATTTCTTTTTGTAGTAGTTTTTTTTTTTTTTTTTTTTTTATGTGTAAGTGTTTTATCCGCGCGTTCTAAGCCTGTCTATTCGAGCTGCGGCGATTCACCCGAGTGATGTCCCCCGATACGTTGTCCCATGCACTGCGGATGACTCTATGCATATTGTGTGGGGAGGAACCTTTCCTCGCTTTCTCAATAAACGTGTTCGGCAGACTGAACCGAAAGCGTCGTTGTCGTGGAGTACTCGGGACAGCCAATCACTGAGACATTTTTCGGATACAGGCGATGTAACTTCAAGCAATCTTGAGGCCAACATGTGAAGCGGTGAAACGCGCGCGCTCGTTTGTTGCAGTAGGTGAAAGCCCCTGGCGGACAAAGTGTGAAACTCGGGAACGGGGATAGAAACCCACGTGGTTGAAAGGCGTCGCCCTCTAGGGGTGA